TTAATGCATCACATATTCATCCAATGCAAACCAGATTAAGGTCTGGAATTATACCTCGACAAGATTATTCTGCTTATGTATCAGATACCTCAGTGGCTACCTCTTTTATTAAGTGTCATTCTGAATTTGCATCTTTGTTGATTAATGAACATAGGTTAGTTTCTCTGGATACACCTACTTAGCAACTATCACAGATGGTAATGAGCCAAAAACTTATAAAGTTGCTTCCAAAGATCCATTTTGGCAGAAGGCTATGCAAGACGAGTTTGATGCCTTAAAAGCACAAGGTACTTGGGTTCTTGTTCCTCCTCCTATTGATCGATCTGTTGGTTGTAAATGGATTTATAAGATCAAGAGGAACTTTGGTGGTACTATCTCTAGGCATAAAGCCCAGTGCTTAGGGCTTTACACAAGAACATGGACTTGATTATTCGAAGATTTTAGTCTTGTGGTTAGGCACTCCACTCTTAGACTTATTTTGGCTTTAGCTATTTCTTAACGTTGGTCTATTCGACAATTTGATATCAAAAATGCTTTTCTGCATGTGAATTACAGGAGGAAATATATATGCAGCAGCCAAAAGGGTTCATTGATCTACTTTATCCTAATTCTGTTTGTAAATTGGTTAAATCACTCTATAGCTTAAACAAGCTCCAAGAGCATGGCATTCCAAATTTACAAAAGTTCTTCCTTCATTGAGATTTCAAGTTTCTTCTTCTGATGCTAGTCTATATGTGAAATATGGTGTTAATATTGTTATCCTTCTCTTGTACGTAGATGACATTATTATTATTAGGTCTGATGCATCTCAGGTACAACATACAATTGATCAGCTTGGGGAGTTGTTTGATCTGAAAGACATGGGAGCTCTTACTTATTTTCTTGGTCTTCATATCCAATATTGAGACAATGGTACTTTGTTTGTAAATCAAACCAAGTATGCCAAAGAGCTACTTAAGAAAGTAAGGATGGACAGTTGTAAACCAACTCCAACTCCTTCCAAACCTCATGTTGTTAATGTTAGTACCTTACATTTACTAGGCCCGATATATCACATGTTGTTAATGTTGTTTGTCAGTATACGAGTCATCCTACTAAATCTCACTTGTTCCAAGAGAATTCTCAGATATATCCAGGGTATATTACATTGTGGTATTATTTTTTAGCCTTCTCTTGATACACAATTGCTTGCCTACTCAGATTCCTATTGGGTTGCCAATATAAGTACATGACGATCTCATACTAGTTATGTTATGTTTTTTTTGTCCCAATTCTGTATCTTGGCAGTCTAAAAAACAGTCTTCAGTTTCCAAAAGTTCCACTGAAGCTAAGTATAAAGCATTGGCTCACTGTGCTGCAGATGTGAGTTGGCTCCAGAATATTTTAAGGCATTTGCATGTCTTTATTCCTTCTCCTCCTCTTATTTATTGTGATAATATATTTGCCCTTGCACTTAGTATGAATCCTGTCTTTCATTCTCGTATAAAGCATCTAGACACCGACTTCCATTTTGTTCGTGAGAAAGTTCAAAAAGGGGATCTACATGTTCAATACATTTCTACTAAGGAGCAGCTTGTAGATTTGTTCACCAAAGGGTTACATAGCCCATATTTTGTTTGACACTGTTCCAATCTTAATCTTGGTATCCCAAGTTAAGCTTTAGAGGGGGGTAATAACTGAAGGTTGATTAGTGTGCCTTGTCTTTAGGATCTATGTACACTTGTCATTTAGACAATAGTTGCTTAAATTGTAAGTTAAGTTAGCTCATGAGAGAAGCTATCTATAGAAAACTATAAATATCATTTGTAAAGCTTAATAGTTGGTTAATGAGAATGTACTACAATTTCAGAGTTCTTTGCTTTCTCTCTCTAAAATTGTTCATCTCTCTTACTTAGATCAACCCTAATCTCAGTGTAGTTATGACCAGATAGATCATCTCATGTCGATCTCCCCTTTATAGAAACAACTATTTCTTCCTTCTATTTTCTTCTTTGATTTCTCTGTCTTTCTTCTTCTCAAGCTCCAAATAAATTCTCAATTAAACACAATACATGAGCTAATCCTTTATAATTTATTTGAGCCTAGTGTTATTTTCATTTGAATATTCTAAGAACTAAGTAAGAGTGTACAACTTGCTATACGTTCATTGAGATTGTGAAAATCACTTTCCACCTTTGACGAAAGATCTCCTCTATTCTTCTTTGCTGTGTGTTTAACTCATGATCTTGGTGTATGAAAAGACTTTCTTTTGGAATATTTATATGACATTCTTGAAATATGAGAACATATGATGCACAATAAAAATGAAAGTACAATCAATTTTTGGACACTTATTTATTATGACAGACCTATTGTTATAAAATTCTGTTTGTGCCACTGCTCATTGTATGATGATATCCCTATTTATCAGACCATTTAAACTGCTATCTATTCATCTTGCGATTCCTCCACTCGCATACTGAATGTTGTTGTTAAGTTAGCTCAACCACTTTACCAACAAATTGCATATGTACATAGAGGAGAGCACACTTTTAATGCTATGTTTTAATGATGGACAATCTTAAGAAATATATCGAAGTCAATTTAATAAAGGATGAATTACATAATGAGGAGGGATTACAGATGCACCATATGAACATTAATATTACAAAGGGCATGAGAAAAATATTTTTAATCTGTCTTATCTAACATTTTGTAATCTGTTGTTTATTAACCTCAATTTGTAATGGCTTGGAAATTCTTCACCCCAACATAACCTAAAAAAAGTTGGCGATCGCCTGCAGCAATATTGGTACATCTGGACCTCTTGCTATCCCCCCTACTCCAAAGCAAAACCCCTTCCAGTACATGACAACAAATTTGCCCAGATCCAAGAGATTACAACCCATCGGAGACTTAAACGTTAAAATTTATGGCAGGAGTAAAAGATAACGAGCCTGTACCCATACCACTCTAGCAGCAATGGATGTTGAAGGTTACGAACTTAAGAAAGCAGCCAACCCTATTTTCCAAGCATATCAAAAGCCTCCATGTTACGAAACCCCAACCATCAACAACAGGCGACTAAACATACGTTAAACTCTGCACATAAGTCCTAATGTACGTAGTCGATACATGAAAAAAAAAAAAAAATGTACGCCTCCAGACGAATTCCTTGCTGTCATGCATAGAAATTTGTATTTGAAAACTTAGCACAAAGATGAAATGAAAAAAGGGAAAAACGACAAAAGGGGGAGGAGTTTTTTTCCCTTTTTGTTTGCTCTATGACATCCCACCTCATCCAAAAACTGGGAAAATGATTAATTTTTATTGAATATACAGAAATGCAAATCATCAATGCTCGTACACAGTATAGGAAGGTTCGAAAAATGCAGATTAAGTCCTCAATCGATTTCTATATCATTTCAAATCAAATTCTAGGGCAAGAAGAAAAACCATATGTCCTTTTGGCCATGGCCAATCACGGAAGGGAATTAGTGGTGGGTGAGCCTTATTGTGATACCTGGGTTCATGGAATTGATGAGTTTGAAGACAACGAACGAAGCATGCATTTTGTGATGTATATCAAGGCAACAATCAGACGCCACCAGCCTAGGGTTTCAGAGGAAGTGGAAGAAGAGGACGCAGCAATAGAAGAACACTTGAGCGTGAATGATGCCACAATGGAACTACAATTTGACCCAGAGAGTGACATGGGTCTTCTCATATCCAACACACTTTCAGGCCTTCATATTCCTCTCCAGGCTCATCCACCCATAATAGCTGAAATATTGTATGAAGCCTACTCCTGGGCCCTGGAAAATGATACTTATTTTCCAGGTCGAGAGGTTTTTCATATGGGGGTGTACGTCGAAGTCAGTGTTTATCGGACATACTTGTCAGATATTCGGGACATCAACATGGACGTAGAGGATGGTGGTGCTGAGCCTCAATTTGTACCGGCAAGCAAATCGTCCATTGAGGAGTTGGAGAGGACGACAGTCAATGCCACAACAATGTGTTCTATATGCAGGGAGGAGATGATGGTTGGCTCAGAAGCAACTCGGATGCCGTGCTCACATCTTTACCATGGAGATTGTATTGTGGAGTGGCTGCAGAGAAGCAGGAATTGCCCGTTGTGTAGGTACTCCATGCCTGCTGATGAATGATGACAGAAACTATTGTCGTAATAATAAGTCGAATTTGATCTGTTTTGTTATTGATTAATCTGGTTATTGTTCTTCCCAATTTGTTATGCATTTTGGTCTTTTTGAACTTGATTATGTTTTAACGTTTGTGGTACAATAAAATTCTTGACTGCTGTGATGATAGAAAGATTGAGATTTTTATGAATCAATAGGTCGAATTTGTATGTTCATTATTGGTTAATTTAATTAAATAATTTTACTACTATCACTTATACCATACGATAAATGATTTCCACTTACCGTTTTGCATGCAAAAACCACTTCTAATACTACAATAGTACCAATTTAGCCCTAGCTAGTCCAGCACTCCTCAAAGTGATTAGTTCCTATATATAATAGTTGTTTCTTTTAATGTTTAGATAGTGCCATTTTTATCAGTCAAAATGGTAAAAGCGCCGCCATTTAGTATTAATGTCTAGTAATATTCCTCTTCATTTGTAAGTGAAAGGTCTTAGGTTTGATTCTCGCCAAAAGCAAATGCAAACCAAATTATTATGGCTAGCCTATTGTGAAGCTTAGCCAACTCCCCACCTCTATGTAGATAATATCGTGTGTATTAAAAAAATATATAGTAATTAACAAACACCAACCGTAGAAGAAAGCAAACTTATTAGGGTTCCGTGGAGAATAAGCCCCAAGTGGTTGGAATCCACACGAAATTACTCTGATAACAAAAAATTGTAAAAGATACTTAACATTAAAACAAACTTTGCAATCTTCAGAGACATAAAATAATAAAAAGAGATCGAGAAAATAAAAGGGGTAAGGAAGAAACGGGAAAGCAGACACGAGAAAGGAAAAAAAAAGACCATATGACATGAAAATCCACAAATAGTTATTTACCAGTAAAAAGCATATATAATCAATCGTTTGTTCCAACCGCAAAAAGATTTAGGCAAGTTACATACATATGATGTACTTTAAACAAATTAAACCAAGTTAAACGTTTAAATCTATGGCAACCGAACTTGAGTCAAATAAAGCAACTTAAACTTTAAGCCAATCATCATCAGAAACTTCGATCTCATCTGAGCTTTCCTTCTGTTCATCATCAACCTTCTTTTCCAATTCAGTGTTGCCAGACTCCTGTACATCATCAAGCTTCTTTTCCAATTCACTGCCGGCAGACTCCTGTACATCATCAAGCTTCTTTTCCAATTCATTGCTGCCGGCAGACTCCTGTACATCATCAAGCTTCTTTTCCAATTCATTGCTGGAAGACTCCTGTACATCATCAAGCTTCTTTTCCAATTCTCTGTTGGCAGAATCCTGTACATCATCAAGCTTCTTTTCCAATTCACTGCTGGCAGACTTACCATCAAGCTTCTTTTCCAGTTCACTGTTGGCAGACTGGAGCTTTTTCCGATAACTCTTCCGTTTCTAATCAATCACAAAAAATAAATAAGAAAAATAAGTATAGGTTATGTAATGCGTATACGATTCATGGTTCATGAATCGAAATCTTCCCAGTCACAAATAAAATAGGAAATTAATTAAACAAACCTTTCGTTCTCTGGCCAAAGATGCCGCCAACTCATCAGCCTTCTTTTGCTCTAAAACAACCGTCCCATTCTGAAAGAATAAAGCCAGTACATGAGCCCCACTATATAACTCTTTTAGTCCAGAAAACTCCGATTAAATAATAGTTACAAATAAAACTACATTAATTAAGCTATACTTCGAGAATAAGAAAAGTACCATTTCGTGCAGTTGCATCTCCATCTGTGCAAGAGCTGTCATAAGATTTATCTTTTCAGCTTTAGTCTGTTCAACCTGAAACGTAAGCTCTAGCTTTTCAGCTCTAGTCTGCTCAAGCTCTTTCTGCTGACATTCATTACGCTCAAGCTCTCTCTCAAAATTAATTTTAAGCTCTTTGTTTAGATCAGCTTCCCTTTCTAGCTCAGCCATTTTCTTGGTAAGCTCTATGTTCTCAAGTTGTTTCTTCTTAAAAAGAAAGGCTCCATCTTTGTAAGCTCTACTTTTCTGCTCAAGAGCTATATTGAGGTTAATCTTTTCAGCTTGAATCTTCTCAAGCTCTTTCTTCTGACATTCACTTTGCTCCAAACTTTTCTGAAAATCATTCTCAAGCGTGATGAACCTATGTGATTTCTCCTCGCTCATTTTCGCCTGAAATTCAACAAGTCGGACAATTGTCCGGTGAAGAATTGTTAATCTAATCGAATATCAAACCTCATGACTCATGATAATGTTCTACAATTCTAGTTTATGGCAGGGACAAGTCATTATTTGAAGGGGTATTAGATTTTCATCCTCCAATAAAATTGTAGGTCCTGGATTAGGTCCGTTATTATGATCAATACTGGATGCATACTAAAATACACTTATGACCATAATCAAAATCCTAATCCAACACTCAGGTTTAATGGAAAAAGAAATCATGCCTAAGGAATCTATTATTAATTTTAATCCCAAAATAGACTTGTGTAATTAAATTGATGTTAACTTGAGAAGAAAACGATACCAGCTCTTGCAGTTCCATCCCAAAATGTTCAAGGGATTTCTTAAGCTCGCCCTTTCCAGCTTCAGTTTGCCTAAGCTTTATCATAAGAGATTCCTTTTCAGCATCCTTCTGTTCAATCACTTTCTCAAGCTCATTCTTCTGCTTTCACCAAGCAAAACAACCTTCTTAATTAGGTATATTGTTTTGAATTTAATGTTAAGATACAAATTGTAGGTCCTTTGATTAATTACGTTATATGACACATGCATACATATAAATATATGTGTATATAATATACACACACAGAGAGTAGGTTGACCAAATATATGATTTCACAGATACAATTCTAATTCTACTTAGATATTCACAATAGCATATGCGATCAAAGAATCAAAATCAAAATCTAATATAGCACCAAGTTAATTTAATACAAGAAAAAAAAAATCTTAATCGGGGATGAAAAATAAAATTTACTATGATAACAATCTTAAAAAATCAAAAACGTAAATTGGTTTAAAGTTGAGAAAAGAAAAATACCATTTGTTTCAGTTGGGTCTCATTCTTCTCAAGCTCTCCTTTAAGCTCTTTCTTCTGAGCTTCACTCTGTTCAATCTTTTTCTCAAGATCATTCTGATGCTCTTTGTTTCGATCAATCTCACACTGCAACTCATGCACTTTCTTGTTAAGTGCCATCTTGTGAGCCTTGATCTGCACAATCTCGTCTTCAAGAGCATCCTTTTCAGTCTCAAGAGCTTCCTTTTCAGCCTCAAGATCTTCCTTTTCAGCCTCAAGAGCTTCCTTTTCAGCCTCAAGATCTTCCTTTTCAGCCTCAATTGCCTCGAGATCTTCCTTTTCAGCCTCAATTTTCTCAAGATCTTCCTCAAGGCCTTCCTTTTCAGCCTGAAGAGCTTCCTTTTCAGCCTCAATCTCTTCAAGTTCTTCCCTAAGCTCTTCCTTCTGAGATTCGCTCTGCTCGAGCTTTTTCTCAAGATCGTTCTTAAGTTTTTTGTTTTCATCAGCCACATTTTGCAGCTCAAGAACTTTCATTCTAAGCTGTTTGTTCATCTTAGCTTCATTCTGCAGCTCAAGAACTTTTTTCCTAAGTGCCTTCTTATCAGCTTCAGTCTGCTCAAGATCTTTCTCTAATTCATCAATTTGAGCCTCTGTGTTATCCAGATGTTTGGTAAGATCTTTCTTTTCAGCATCCCGCTGCGCAATAATTATCATAAGCTCGACCTTACTGGCTTCCGTTTTCCCAAGCTTTTGCATAAGAGCTTCCTTTTCAGCATCCTTCTGTTCAATCACTTTCCCAAGCTCATTCTTCTGCATTCACCGAGCAAAACAAGCTTCTTAATTGGGTATTTGTTTGAATATGATGTTGAACATAAAATTGTAGGTCCTTTGATTGTGTATTATATGATACGCATATAAATAATAAATATACATACATATACATATATGTAACACACACACAGTAGGTTGATTAAAATGTATGCGATTTTTCAAGTACAATTTTAAACCTACTTAGATAATCACAATAGTATACCTGATCAAAGAATCAATATCTAATCAAGCCCCCAAGTTAATTTATTGAAAGAAAAAAATAATCCTATACAGAGATGACAATCAAATTTATTATGAAGCCAATCTAAAGAAGACCAAAAAACGTAAATTGGTTTAAAGTTGAGAAAAAGAAGAATACCGTGTGTTGCAGTTGCATCTCACTCTCCTCGAGCTCTTCTTTAAGCTTTTTCTTCTGAGCTTCACACTGTTCAATCATTTTCTCAAGATCATTCTGGTGCTCTTTGTTTTGATCAATCTCACTCTGCAAATCAAGCACTTTCTTGTTAAATGCCTTCTTATCAACCTCGATCTGCACAAGCTCGTCTTCAAGAGCTTCCTTTTCAGCCTCAAGATCTTCCTTTTCAGCCTCAATGTTCTCGAGAGCTTCCTCAAGCTCTTCCATTTCAGCCTCATTTATGTCAAGAATTTCCTCAAGCTCTTCCTTTTTATCCTTAATCTTCTGAAGTTCTTCACTAAGCTCTTTCTTCCGAGATTCGCTCTGCTCAAGCTTTTTCTCAAGATCGTTCTTAAGTTTTTTGTTTTGATCAGCTACATTTTGCAGCTCAAGCACTTTCATTCTGAGCTGTTTGTTCATTTTAGCTTCATTCTGCACTCCAAGAAGTTTTTTCTTAAGTGTCTCCTTATCAGCTTCAGTCTGCGCAAGATGTTTCTCGAGTTCATTAATTTGATCCTCTGTTATCTCGAGATGTTTGGCAAGCTCTTTGTTTTCAGCATCACGCAGCACAATAATTTTCTTAAGTTCCACGGTCTGTTGAGCTTCAAACTTCTCAATTTTCTCAAGCTTTTTCAAGTTCTGCTGGTCTTTAAAGTACACTATTGACAACATAACATGAAAAACAAAATAAGCTAATTATCTTTCCTGCCCTTTTCAAGGGCAAAGACAACATGGGTAATCAGAAACCTAATTACTTAAGAAAATGTTACTCACCAAAGTCCATATCTGCCGAACTGCAATACGTCTTCAATCCTACAATGCAGAAGAAATTGAAACAATCCAAGTAATTAAACCACTTACACCAGTTCTTGATGTATACAAACACACATATGTATGCTTTTATGCAAACATTATTAACAGTTGAGAAGCTAACACACTTGTATCCTTTTAGAACAAACTTGAATTGAAAAACCCACTTCGAAAAATTCTCATCAGTTAACTTTAAGAACCTCAAACAATTACAAAAGTTTTCAAGAATCGGACAGAAATGGCTTTGTGCCAACAAGTCTTGCCAATTTACTAGACTACAACGGAAATGGCTCCGTGCCTTCAATCAAACAACTACAAGAATCTTAACAGAAATAGCTTCGTGCCTTCAATCAAACAAGAATCTTCACAGAAATGGCTTCGTGCCTTCAATCAAACAACTACAAGAATCTCAAGATTATCATCAATGGCTTCGTGCCCACAACTCTATTTACTAAGCAACTCAGAAATCATATACTAAACTACAAGATTTCCTAGAACCATTGAAATCACCAATCAAACCCAGAAAGCCGTCAGAGGACCCAAAACTCCGATGAACCACAGCAGAATCGCTGGCTCGATACCATATTAACAGTTGAGAAACTAACACACTTGAAGAAAATTAAGGGTTTAAGAACACGGACTTTAGAGAGAAAGAGAGAGAGAGAGCAGCAGAGAAGAAAATGGATGAAGATTCGATTTTCATTGAAAAGGGAAAGAATTACATACTGCTATATATAAAGCAGCAACTCTAACAGTGTTCTGTTTTAGCCGACATGGACAAGGTCCAATACAATTATGACATCTGTACATTTATTTTCTTTCACTTATCAAACATAGATGCATCACGCATTCATACTAAAAATTACTGCATATCATGTAAATGGTACTTCACCAAAATCTGAGAATTAAACAACTGTGTTTAAAATGTAATACGTATTTAATTATGTATTATATGTAGTATCAAACAGATAAAGGTGGAAAAACACTTGAGAGATATGCCCCAGAAAGACTCTGGTAAGAGAGAATAACTTAATCTCACATCTACATCATTATTGTGGCATTCCGTGCCAATCATATAATGTTATGTGGTAAAAGACTAAAACATAACATTGTATTATTGGCATGAGACACCACAATGATTGCGTACCCATTCTGTATTAGGCATTCTCCTGCTTGATGCTCGTTTTATGCCCTACCAAATCATGATGAAACTTAATGCAAACAACGGCAATAACTCTTTAAATCATACGATTTCTCAACATGGAAAAAGTTTAACATCTACTGAAGTTCATTATTTATACAAGTGAAACGTGTCTCTCAATCCATCCCTCAAATTCCCAGTAACACTAGGGAAAGAAAGATTAATTATAATATTGCAGATTTATACTTCTAAAGAAACACTGAAAAACCTCGTCCATTAGATAGCTAGGGTTTCTCGCTAGGGTTACAGGACCAGACAAACGGAGGTCCAGTGGGTTTAAAAAAAACTAGTCAAAGCTAAGTCAAGTTAGTTTCTGAAAATTGGTGGTAAGACACCAGTTTAATTTTAAACCATTCTCCTTCAGATTCTGATTTCAAATACGATAAAAACACATTCAGATATCAAATATCATAAAAAATAAAAAAGCATCCAAACTCACTGACTTGATGTCATTAAAAATCTCAACTTCGACTCTCTGATTAAGATTATCTCATGTTTCTCAACCCTAACAAGAACAATTGAATACCGAATCTACGGTAATCAAAATCAATTAGAAAAGAAACGTGATGTCTTTGGCTAGCATACCACTCAACATGAAATATATGTATGCTATCTGCATAAAAATAAAGACTATGGTACATATAAGAACTTATGCATGTAGGATAACTAGAGGGAATTCAGCACTCACAGTAACAAGAAAAGCCAATTAACCTTGGGTTTCGTCCTTCTTCAAGGTCGAAGAGAGAGAGCTAGGGTTTTGGGTGTGTTTTATCTCATGCGCGAACCCTATATATAAAGATACAGGTCTCCTTTTTGTGTCCGACTTCTACATAACTTGGGAAAAAGGTTTTGTATCCGAGCTAACTACAACAAAAATTAATATCCCATTAAATAAGTAAATAACCAAAATTAATATCCTGGTCAACTATTTTGGCAAGTGTTGGAAAAAAAAAAAAACTATTTTGGCAAGTGACAATTTTATCCTTACTTTTTACACCACGTTGTTTCTGAAACCCCCCTTACTTTTCAAAACCTAACTTAATCAAAATTCTTTTTGGCTTATTATATTAACACCCCACAAATTGTTGACTAAATCTCACTTACTTAATACATACCACATTTGCTTTTTCAACTAAAAATTATCTTAATACACCCCACATATTTCCCTATAATACCCTCACACCTCACATTCTCAATATACACCTTATATTATCTACATACACTCCACATTTATCAAATCTTATAACACTCATTTTTAATTTTCAAGGGCCGAATCTAAACATTTGAACGTTTAGCTTGCTGAATGATTTCAAATTGAATGATTTGAAAAATATTTAGATTCATTTGAATGTTTTTCAATAATAATAACGATTTCAAAGCTACCACGTTGTTTCCATTTTCTTATGCATATTTTGGTCGAACCAAGTCACATGCAAGAAAGCATCTTAGTATAGTGCAAGAAAGCACCTTATGAATGTCATTGACTCACTCTGCAATCAGTTTGGAGGCCATGGCTTTTGAATTATGAGATTCATAAGTGCTAGGTCTTGAATTATGAGATTGAGTAGGACTTCGGGGTCCTTAGCTTTTGCCCTCACTTTGCAATCAGTTCATGATCTCCTAGAAGGACATGACCATACTGTAATCATTGCAACCACTGCCTAGTTGAAAATCATCACTAAAAATGAATTGGGGTGAGAGGTGTTTTGATAGTTGAAGAAGATAAATAATACGTTAAAAGTGATTTAGGGTGTATTTGGAAAAAAAAAATTAAACCTAATAAGGTCAAAATTGTCATTGCATGGTGGGGTAAATAAGTTATTTAATATTAAATTTTAATGTGAGATGCATTCAACATTTTGTGGAGTGCTAATATAAAAAGCCTTCTTTTTATGCCCAACTAAATCACTTAAAATAACAAATAAAACCCTAATGAGCCCATTATCTCTATTGGGCAAAGTCCATTCTCTCTCTTTAAACCTCCTTCCATCTCCCATGGCTATCATTGCTACACCCCATCTACTCCTCCATAGTCATCCAAACCTCTTCCCTTTCTTTTTCTTCGTTATCTGACAACTCTAAATTTCTAGAGCACCAACTAGCTTAATAATTGGTATGTGTTCAATCTACTATTCAGTTTTTACATATTTATTTTAGCCATGTAAAGAATTCTTGATTCTTTTTATAAGAGAGATTTAATTTATTTCCATTATGCTTCAGTTTCTCTTTATTTATTTAAATTTTTAGCTCGCGCACCGAAATTTGGGTTCAAGATCAATCCCGAATTTGGGGCATGACAAAATGGTATCAAAGCTCACTTATTAGACAACCTTAGGACAAGGTTGTGATACCAATTAAGTAGTTGATGGGAATTGGAGGAGCTAAAGCCTTGATCTATACAACTTGGCTTTTTTGTGGGCGTTGATTCTTTCCTTGTAGTATCCCTTTGAGTTCCTAAGTGTGAGAGATTAGTACTCTAGTTATGGGTAGTATCATGGGTAGCTAGAAAGCGTTGTCTTTTTGTTTCACTGGCTATTTTAAATCGAATTTTACTCGTACTTTTGAAGAGTTGGTTATGAATTCCCAATCATGATCACATACTGTCATTGAATTGTTATGAATTTTAAAGAGGTGGTTACGAACTAAATGCTTTTCTGTTTTGTTCCAGCAGATGAGTAAGACTACTGAACTTATGTTTGCCTTGTTTTGGAAACTTCTTAAGTTGGAAATTGTTGTAAAGTTTTCAGTTAATTTTGTCTTGGAAGCAAGAGACTCTTTTAGTTAAAGATTTAAAGCCGAAGTTTAGATTACCGAAGTAGTCATTCATGTTAATGTATATACTATGAACTTGTAAGAACAGTATTGCAGAGAGAACTTAGAGAGAGAGAGAGAGAGAGAGAGAGAGAGAGAGATGAAAGCTCAAGATATTTTCTTGTATTGATTACTTAGTGAAGAAGTTATTGCATAAATGAAGTATTTATACAACTCACAAGATTCTAACAAACTAACTGCCTATCAAAGATTAAGACAAGTGTCAACATCATAAGTGTACAATCACTAATATACTATCTCTATCAATTCATTCGATCAAATTCTAAAGAAAAAACAAATTCACTTGTGACTTACTTCTACTCAGAAAGGTAACGGTTAAGTGGAATTCACATTCCTACACGTGCATGGCCTTATTGACGGTTATTCATTCCTATACAACTTAGGGTTGTATGATGAACCAATTGATTCTCATTCCTACATATATATCGTCTGGTTATGTGATGAGTCTACTGAACTTCATCCCTACACAACGTTTGGTTGTATGACGGGTTTAGTTGAACTCCATTCCTCCTACACAATTGGTTGTGTGATGAGTTTGCCAAAGAATCTCATTGGCCTACACAATTCCGGATTGTGTGATGAGTATATTAAATTTCATTCCTACACTGACTTCTGGTTGTGTGATGAATTTATTGAACTCTATCCCTACACAATTGTTGGTTGTGAGAAGGGTTCATTGAATTTCATTCCTATGAGTAAGACGAAATCACGAATGACATGTGATGAGTCACAAAGCTGAATGTTGTTGTACCATGAAGCTAGGGATACAATTTGTAGTACTATTTCGTTTGAAAATTGGATTCACTCAAATTCCAATTAGTGGGTGTCGGGATTTGATTAGATTGGCCTTAGTTACAAGTGTTTTTCCTGAAATTGTTGTTCGAACCAACTAGTGTCAGGATTGTGAGTTGAGCTTTGGGATTGAGCTTTTGGTTTCGTGGTAATTGTGTGAATAAGTGGTTTTCGAAAATCATTTTGTTAGTACAGAAGAAAACTATTTTGTTCTAAATGCAAATTTTGTATTTCATTTCAAAATTTTCATTTACTCCTTTCGAAAAAGAAAAATATGTGATCTATGATTTTTTTCGAACGTCAAGCTACTTTTTGTTATTACTAGAAAAGAAAATATATGTTTTGGTATATAGTTAATTATTTTCATTGCAATTCAGTAATACGGTCTGGTGGTATTCCTATTCGCTCGGAATTGAGAGGTCTTAGATTCAAATCTCGTAGATGACAAATTCAATTCCAAATTAGGCTGCTTATTGTGTGGCTTGTGGAGCAAAAAATAATCAAGAAAAATATGGAGGTGACACATGGGCTTTTGGGTGAAAAGACAAAACTACCCTTAAGGCACACCGAGACTCCCATGTGCATGCAACAGACAATAACGGCTCAATCGAGGTCAAAGGTGATCAAAATGGTATTCTTTTAAGCCTTCTTATCACTCCTCATCAAATCTTCACCCACAAGATAACTGCCAATTATTCTTTTCAAATTAGGATTAATTACCTAAATTAATTAATTAATTATCTAATTAATTGATTAATTGCCCAAAGTAATTGCAAGATTTTATTTCCATAATATCTTGCAATCAATCCCACAAAACAACCAAATGTGGCCGGTCCTAATTCTCCTAATAGGGTCAGCCACACCCCTATATATACCCCATCAT